ATCGTTAATTATCCATGGTAATATTCTTTACAAAGCACAAACATGTCATTATTCACCTCAAAAGCTAACAAAACCTTTAAACAGACTTATTAAGAAGGGATATAGTTACGATACTGTTGTCAGGTCATTAAAGATTGCATATTTTAGCTTTAATATTAATTCACTTATAGGGTCTTTGCATCGGAATTAAACACATTTATTCTAAAACCAGTTGTTGGCATGACACGGGTTATGTTCTTCTCATATATTTTAGGACGTTTCGTGTTATTGTTCGCTGGCTTATTGTTCGCGAGCTTGATGCATCTTATTGTTCGCTAGCTTGATGCATCTTATTGTTCACTGGCTTATTGTTCGCTAGCTTGAGTCTGGTTGATACATTCACAAATATTTCTGATATATAAACACATATATTAAACAGAAGAAGAAGCAATAATTTCTCGTTATTATGTCCTCAACTGATCTTGAGTTCAATATATTCAATATTTGACAGTAGTACTTCAATGAAGTCTGAATCATGTCCTACATCTGCTTCATCAATTGTTTCCACTTTATTAGAATTGTCCACCAATGCATTTGTTTTCTTTAAAGTAAAGTTTCCAAATAAGCTTCTGATCTAATTTGATGATAACCATTCTTTTGGTGGAAACATTTTATATGGAGTTGTTTTTAGGGCGATCGCAAATGCCTTCATAACGAGGTCTTTTTCAAGTTGTTTTTCTCCTTGCTCAAAAAAGCATACAATATAAAAATAAAAAGATGTGGTGTTATAATACGTCTCTTACAATTTTGGGGAAATTTTACAACTTTCTTGGACCTTTTCAAAACCCAGCCTTAATCTATCAAAATCTTCATGGTTTTCTTAGTTTATTTGGGAAATTTAACAAGCTGACGTTTACATGTACAATGTATGTCGAAACTTTCTGATCGAAACTTTCAAAATATATTCCTGTAAATTTAAAAATTATTGCAATATGAATAACACAACAGATTTTCAATGTTACCCGTCTACTAAATTTTTGTACAAGGCTCATTTTCAAACTTGACCTGTTGTCTGTAGAAAGTTTACAATCCGGACCGATGCTCGGACGGACAGACGAACGAACAGCATTCATATATTACCGGTCGCAATGTGATGCTGAGGGGGACAGCAAGAACAGATATGGGGTATATGTCAAGGAGACAATATTTCATCTCAGAAGTTAACTAACCAAAAATGTACACCCAGAGGTCGCCACACGATCTGCAACAAACAGGAAAACCAACAACATTTACTTACCCCTATAAGGCCCAGACTGTGACATGACCTAAGTTACATTTCATTTTTTGTACAATATTCAATATAATTTAAATTTGCTTTAATTAATCTCACATTTTTGACAGTCACCATGAATATGCAACAATAATATTACACACATTACGTTCTGAATTCACAGTATTTCAAATTTTTCTGCATGAAGTCAGAATTCTACCAAATTGTCTTTGAATTTAATTACAACTAGGTAGAACCGTTTTAGTGAATTAAAACTAATGTCTCCCCTGTAGAAATCATTCTGGTAAAAAAAGATTGTCATTGCAAGTAAGAATATATGGTAAATGCATGGAAATATGTACTGTTTTCCATATATTTACCAATTTATGAAACGAGGGGGTAGGGCATGAGGGACACAATATATGTTACACTTGATTGGTCTAGTCATGATATATTTATTTGAGTACATGGTTTATGGGTGGGTATCTGAACAGATATATAAGGGGCACGAACCACAGCAAAAACATATATGGTGTACTCAAAGGTGTTGTCTTGCTGATTGAGAATATATATATGATTTAGAGGTAGGGATATGAACATATTTCATGCTATTTTACCATTAATGGTATGTAGGGGGCAGGGCATGTCCCTCATGATGAACTAGAAAAGGCAATTAAGATTAAATATGGGTTAAGGATGGAGTTCTGAACCCTTTTTTTTTTTTTAGATAAAACTAAATAACATCATTATTTTATGAGGGACGGGGCATGACCCCCAGGGACAAACCCTTAGCTGCACTAAAAAAGGTCTTGCACATTCTGTGGCCTATGAATTGCTTACTACCACTTCATTTTAACTGCCGTTGATAGTTGTCTCATAAGCAATCAGTCCACATCTCTTCATTTTCATATTGACATGGCAAGAAAGAATATGCTTGGTTTTAGGGTGACATATGAAATTAAATATTTGACCTTGACTTTTTATGTGACCTTGAAGGTCAAAGATCAAGGTCATCATCCATGGTATGTGACACATGATATTGAGGTGCTGCACTTGTATGTCAAGTATGAAAAGACTTTGTCAAGGGAGAGGAAAAGGTGTGCTCCAGATAAGAAAATGTTAAAAAAAATCAAGTATTTTGACCTTGAGGTCACAGGTCAAGGTCAATTGACGGTTTTAAATTTTATGAGATACACTGTCTTATTGTTATACACCTTCATGCCAAATACCATAATCCAGTGTCAAAAGATAAATAAGTTTTCATGATTAAATACACGGATTATTGTGAAAAATATGTGAAAATTATTCATTTTTATTCCGTTGCCATGGTAACGGTGTAGGAGACCCCAGCTCAAAAATCATAAAACTTGTTGCACACATGTAAACCTTTTTAGAAATATTTAAAACATTAAATAATGCATTGTACTTTACAAGATTTCCTGTCTTTTTATTGACCTTTTTTAGGAAGTATCCAAAAAATGTCCAAAATGCCCTTTTTAGACAGGTCAGCCCCAAAATATAGCTATACTCAAGCAAAAACATTTTGTCAAGTTTCGAAGGACGAATGATGCTTGTTATAAAAATCAACTCAAATATCAGCTAAACAAAACCATATCTAGCATATTCAGAGTAACAAAATTGTCACATTTTTGTGGAAATTTTGGGAAATTAAGCCTTTTCCAATAGATGGCGCTGTAAAATCTAAAATAAGCCTTAAATCAAATTTTAAAGCTAAAATGTTTTTTCTCTTGACTATCGTAACATATGTGCAAAATTTCATTACATTTGGTTGACATGTTATGTGGACCCACTTATAAGCCTTTTGCATGGTTCTATCAAAGACTGTGTGTTAAGTATTATTATTCCTAACAAATTACATGAAGCAATTGTATTTTATTCAAATATTTTCCACCGATTCTTCAGGAAAAACACATAAAATTCGTTTATTCAGAATAAACCATCCATACAAAACTGTTAAAAGTGCATAAATATGATATTCGCTAATTGTTCAATTAATCAAATCAACATCCATATCTTAAAATATAAGCATTTATTATTTTTATTTTGTCAAATGTGAGTGACGATATAATTGTATTGAAATCGATATAGAATGTTTCTTGGGCTCATATCCGGTAATTTTCTTCAGCTTTTAATGGCTTCTTGTGCTAACGATTTTGTTTTGTTTTGTTCGCCAAAGTGCTGATATAAATTGCAGAAAAAAATAACTTCCTCACTAAACAAGAGCATCGATGTGTTTCTAATTGCAGCTACAAGATGACTTGCATAATAATACAAGACAGCCTTTACGCAATAGCTTATGGACAAACCTGCAATTATTTGACATGATTATATGGGCTTTTATGTCATAAGTGTTCACGTATATTCCTATAAAAAGGTAAATTTGTCGTCAGTTCGATATGATAATGGTTTAATTTTTTCCCAGTTGACATATGTTATAGCATATCTATGTTTACATCATCTAGATTTTTGCTTGACAATATGAATAAGAGAAACAACAAATACTCGATATCCGTTTTGCTCATCTGAAACTATCTATATATATGACAAAATCTGTGAAAAAATCACTGTGAGTTGAGATTTAAAAAAAAATTGTTGCAAAACACAGTACCTCTATGTGAAATAGATTTCGGATGATAATTTTTGACATATAGGCATGGCTGACTTAGTTTTTCAGTTTGGTTGAGTTAATACTCGATTTACAATTTAGTTTTTTCTTTTAAACCTTTACCCTTATCAGTGTTGTTCCTTTTTTGTAAACAACAAATACCTCATTATCGAGCACACGAGATGTATGTAGCATTGCACATTCCATACTCTGGACAAATTAATTCTAGCAACAACGTAGGTGCTTGTTTAAAGTATGACTAAAAGGAAGTAGAGAAAGCCACCAAAATAACACTGTAAAACCACAAAAGACACAGCAGAAGTACAATTTGTTGTTGAATAACAAGAAAAAAAGAAGAAGATTGGGTTGAAGACTTTGAAATAATTTTTCAGATAACAAATGGTTACATGTCAATATTATATCTACACTTAACTGTAATAATCATTGTCGAGAAACAATTTGACATGTCCTAGCGAAACTTTTTAAACCAGTTGTATTTAATAGACTCAAGTAATTAAAACAGTCTGGTCCTTGAAAATACTAGATGATTAGAATCGAAACCCTTTACAGTCCGTTGGCGTGATACTAATGTTGTTATTTAATTTGGGATTGAAAACTAAGAGAAACGATTCTAGGTACAAGACAATAACTTTATTTCCAACTCATGTATGTATTTTTTGTAGTGACCATTCGTAGTACATAATTTTTGTAGGTACCATACCATTTTATAGTAAACCTTCATTTTATGCGATTTGTTTTGTAGTGACATTCATGGCATGTGATTTGTTTTGTAGTGACCATTCATGGTATGTGATTTGTTTGGGTTACCATTCATGGTATAGATTTTCGTTGTTACCATTCAGAGTGTCGCCATACATGGTATGTGATGTTTGTTATCACTGTTCATGATATGTGATTTTTGTTGTCACCATTCAATGTATGTGGTTTTTGTCGTGTCACCATTCATTATATGTGATGTTTTTTAGAAACCATTCATGGTTTTTGATTTATGGTATTTTTGTGAAGTCACCATTCATGGAGTGTCTTACGATACATAACAATGGAACAGTTCTCAAATATTACGACCACCTATCAACTGGGTTGCATAACTTATATAGATAACAATTATTTTTCATTAGCTGCTTTATTTATCATTTATATAAGTAACAATATTTTATAAGCACAAGACATACACAACACGTTTAGCTAAACAGAATAACACCTAATAATGTCTTCCGAAGAAAAAAGAAACTTTAAAATAATAAATCGGCGATACATTTGAATAGGATAGAACGACAAAATAAAAATGAATTAAATTTTCAATTATGTTTTTCATATAAGTTGTTAATTGATAAATGTACTAAGGATGACCTCAGTGATATAAGTATATGATGCCCTCATGTTGGAAAAAAATGAAGTTACAGTTAAAAACACCGTAATTAACCCTTGAGTTATGTTAATACATTGCTAATACATGTCAAATGTAATTTCCTATCGCGCTATCCTTAATATGAGTACGTATCCACAAGTTTAATCTTTATCAAAATTAGATTGACAATTTGATTTTGGACATACAAACCCCTTATTGCAAGTTCAATATGTCAAAAGTGAAAATAAAAGCAGCATGCATGCACTAACGTTGAAGAGAAAAAATGGTTTCCGATAATAAATCACTATGATTTATCAAACTGGTCGATTATTACCTTTCAAAAGAAACTCTACTACAAGTTTAAACCTAAGATTGATAAAAAGACTGAAAAGTAGGTAACGTTGTTACTAAAAGGTCGTTTCTTCTGAACTGTACAAACAAAATCTGAACACTCTGACATATAATGTCCATTAGGAACAAACCACTATTCAGTGTAAATTATTTTTAAGACTAAATCGGGATGTTTGGATGGAATTCCGCTGTCTCGTTGATTCCATTTTATATCCGAATGTGTAAAAAATAACGTACCAAATTCAAAGTGAATAATTCAAAAAAAAAAATACAATTTACGTCTTAGTTGCAAACATTACCTGTTTTTGAAGATCCCTTTGCTATCTTTCGCCTCTCTTCTTTTCCAAGGTCGTGTTGGGTCGAATAGAACACTGCCTACACCGTTAAAAATGGGTTGGAAAAGATCTTTGATACATCAATCAATTATATTAAAATGTTTTAGTCTAAAATAGTGCTTCTGAAATTAGTAAAAATCACGATGATACTTAGTGTAAAAAGTAGACTTTAGACAATTATCTTTTTTTTTCGACGGCAAACATTAATAGGTGCAAATATCTACTAAAAGGAAACTAATGTAATAAAGTAATGATAAGCATCTAACTAAATTTTGGCACGAAATAGCACAAATGTTGAAAATGTTACTCGCTCCAAAAAGATGTAATGCGAGTATGGAAAATGCACGCATTCACAGAAGTCTGAGATAATAAAAAAAATAATTAGATATCGAAAATATGAAAAAAATATTTGGAATGTTTATACATTGGTTATCAGGAAAAATAATATTCATTAATTTCGGAATGGAAAATGTTTACTCTTAGACTTTTGTATAGATTTCCCCCTTACTTTTGTCTAATTAACATTTATATTGACATGTTATTTTCTAAACAACACTTTTAAACATTTGTTTGTATTTACTTTCGAGTGAGCTGATATTAAATCTGTATCAAATAAAATGACATTTCTATGTTTTTAACTCTGTTCTAACTGAAAATCTAATTTTATGCTTAATTCGACATTTTAAAGGTCACAATATTGCTTAAATGTTTAAAATGAACAGCACTAAACAGTAATGTCCATGCAAACATCATATCAGAGCAATTTATAGCCATCACAATTTTGAATACGTAGTTAAATATTTAATGTGTAGTTCATTTTAATGAAAATCTTTGTGGCTTTATGTCATTGTCTGTGTTCAAAGAAAACAAGAAGTCTGTTAAGTCTGTAAGGTAAAATTATATCATGTTTCTGGAAATAATATTCTTCAAGTCAACAGTATTTTTAGATGATAAAGGTTTTAAAGCATTGTCCGCCCTATTGGAAAACAATGCACTAATGTTTATCATTTAGTTAACTTTTTCTGAAAACTGATAAACTCAGTATTTTGAATGCAGTAAATGAAACGTGAAGGATAAATAACTTCAACAATTTTCTCTAACATGACATATGGGAGATAACCCTTCCCTTGAAAATGATAAAATATAGTGGTAACAGCAAAAAAGAAGAAATGAGATATCTATAAAGTGTGTGCCTGGTTTTTTTTAAAACAGAAAAGTATTTATTCAAGGTAATATCATTACTCTTCTGCAGAAACATTTTCCACAATACCATTCAACAACACATTGTACATTTTATAATCTTAAAACCGACAAAAATATAAATAAAACACATAGAAATCACGGTCATAAATTGAAGAAGCTGCAATAAGCAGCAACAATATGGCACTCATCTGATGATGTTCCAAGTGCAAAATGTTTATCAGACTCTACAATGAAATTTTACAGTATAACTTAATTTGCCTGCAACCTTTCTTTGTTTGCCATATATTTGGTTTGTTACAATATCAGAGTGACAACTTCGCTTATAACTTAATAAACAAATGAACATTATCAAATATAACAGTTATAAAATATTCATATATTTATATATATAAATGTCCAATGTAGTTACTTCTTCAAAACATTTTTATTATGTATGTTCAAAGTTTATTTTCAATTAAAACATAAGATGATCTGATCGTGTTTTATAATTATTTAAATAAAAGTGCATCGTGTTTTGTGAGTAGTTAGGTCGATTGACGAATGTAACTTATTTTAAGAAGCATTTTCTTGCAGTATAACATTATACCTAAAATCAAATGTAAAAACATATTGATTTAACTTATATAACACAATGTAAACTGTAACTGTTTATGCTAGCATTAATGTGGTATTTTGTCAAGCTCCATAATAAAAAAATATTCATTTATAGATGCATTTATGTTCAAGAAATTGTCCTACTACTCACAAAAAACACTCTTAAAATGTTGATGACATATCATGCATGTATTTAGAAGCTGGGATGAATGATAATCAACAATACTGTACGTTATCTTGGCTTTCATACAATTACATTATATTCTGAGAACAAAAGAAGTAACGGAAAAATTAGAATATACCATCATAACATATATTGTCGAAGCATTTGGTGGGACATTGTGATATAAAATGTACGGAGATAGGAAGAAAATAATAATCCAAAAACAAGTAACATATATGTACAATTTTATAGCCGCTATCAATGTGACAATTTGATGATCTGAAGCAAGATGCCAGCGATGGATCTCATTACAACGAAAGTGATTTAGAAAACTCAAAAAGAAGTAGTAATTGTACTTTTTTAATTTTGGAATTTCAGGAAAATATTTTTAACAGAGCAGGTTATTTGCATTTCATATGCATTGAATGTTAGTTAGGCCAGTATCGGAAATGAAATGTAAGGGACGGATGGAAAGATGTTGTATCACTCCAGATTTTACATAATCCAAAATACCACTAAACACCGTCCATGTCTGAAAATGAATATTCCTGGAGATGTAGTAACTCTTCCTTATATTTAACATAGTACCATTTATACATTCGACACTCAGTTAATATATAATTTAGTATATGTCCTACCGTGACACTGCTAAGGCACATAACAGAAAATATGAAAATCAAAATGAAATATTAAATAATTTATAACTGATCAAATTTTTAAATGTTTAATAAAGTAATTTTAAACTTGTTGAAGTTTTTTAATTTAAATGAAAGTGACATTGCTTTTTCAATTACTTCCGAAAATCCAGTCAGGTATTTAGAAGAAAAACCTTTTATTTTAGAAATGGAAAAAGATAAAAACTAACACAAAAAAAAAACAAAAAAACAACATAAACGGTTACAAAGGAGAGATCCAAAAGCGAATATTACTTACAAATAAATTATTAAAAGAGATAGTAAATAAAACTGTAAAAACAAACCATGTAACAAATATTAATAACAACAAGTATTTTAAGAAGAAATCAAACATGTAAAATCCCATATTACTGAAATATTCTAAAAATGATACAAAGGCACATAGTGCCACATTATAAACTAAAACAACTATAATATTCAACATCATTTGAAAAGGAGATGTGAGCGATAAGAAACAATATACAAATATATTACAAGTAAATAAAATAAATGCCTAAAGAAAAAACAAGTGATAAGTATTGTTATTAACTTACTTTTAAAATATAGGAATCAACAAAGAGTAGTTTACTATTTCGTCAAGTGGAAAGTGGAAATCGAAAACGATCATGAATGTATATTTTGCTTTCTAATTGAAATTTTTTACAGCTTTACTATATTTTCAATACTGGAACACTGTTCAATCATTTTATATTTGTATTTCTAATTTATTTAAACATGCTGCCTAAAAGTTTTAAGGAATGTATGTTATACTGAAATAAGGGCATTTTTAATAAACTGAAATCCTTTCAAAGAATACAGTTTATTATACTATCATTGTATAGAAAATGTACACGTAGCTGCCCACATTAACACACAAAACATTTCTGGAAATTTAAAATGTTACATTTCTGTATATTTTGTGAAATAATACATATTACTGCATAATTTGGGATAAGAAAACACCAATTACTCTTTACAAAATTCAGAATTTAAAAATGCTGCCAGTAGAGGATATTTGATATCCTTAGACATTGCATGGACCAGTAAGGACAACACATTGAAAGTCGGTGAAATACTGCAGACCATTTATTTTTGCGTGCTAAAAATTCTAAAAAAACAAATTGAAATTGGATGAAATATTAAGGGGAATAATTATATACAATAACTAATTAAAATGAAAATACGTAAACCTGTTGAGCCGCAAAAGTAAATTGGTGTCCAGTATTCGCATATGGATTATGACAATCATAAAAAAAAATCAAACGTCAAAAACTAACAACTTTGTACTTGTGTAATCATTGTGTGTAGTTTTGAATAAAATGATTTTATTTGAGTACACTATCATAAAGACATCACTCAAAATGTTGATTGACATTGAAAGGAAATATTTTAAAAGGGAAATCTAAAACTTTTTAGAATTATAATATCATATTATCCATGAGAAGTATAGAAATTATCTTTGCATTCATTTTGTGTATTTAAAGACAATCTCTGATCTCAAACAAAACTTAAGAAGATTGGCAACTTTTAAGAAATGTCACCAGAACACATTCTAAGAACATAGTTTCAAATAGGAATACTATAAGTTGAAAGTTGTTAGTCAATTTAATGTTTAACGTTTCATTTTTAACCTTTCCGATGCATATTATTGTAACTGTATAATATAATGTGCTGATAAGTGACCTAAGGAACAGGAAGGCACAGGAGATATTTCGTATCGGGGAATGCTGCCTCTTCTTGCACTGTGTTTTTGCTGTTTAAATAATGAGTCTACTTGTTAACCCTAATAAGATTTTAATGAAAGAACAAATTGCTGCTTTGAAATGTTCACTGCCCTTTAGAAGTGGAATGTTTGATATCCCCTGGTCACTTATCAGTTCCTTTCATTTCATTTCATAGACGGCTACACATGAATAATTCTTTTCCCAAATTAGAATATCTTTTTTATTGGCAAAATGACCTAAATAGTTAAATGTGATCAATTTGTTTTAATTACAATAGTGTGTTCCAACTGGTGTTTTGTAGCTTACTACAATATCTGCAAATCATAATCATGCTTGATCAATGGATGCAAATGAGTTATGGTATAAATAAACAACGCCATTTTGAATGGACCAAGTATATAGTAAATACATAATGACTGATTTTATCAAATGCCTGATAATATATGATCAATGAGCAAATGTTTTAAAATAAATCTAAGACATAGTATCGTTCATATCTGTACCAGCAAATTTCTGTCAAAGATGTATCATTCTGAATTTACATAAAATCACTTCAAATTTGAAATATTGTTCGTTTGCGAAATGTTAAATTTCACCAAAGTTAAAGTAAGTTTTGTAACTCATGGGGTTTGAAGAGTTATTTCATTTAGCAATTCACATGACTACAAATCTTATAGTTTTACCTTAGTCAATCAGTAGCCTTTTTTATTGACGTAAAAATGAAACAAATCAAGAAAAAAACTGTTTCTGAATAATACATAAAACAAATACTATTATTAAAAAGTTATAATCACGAATTCAGTGTCGAATGAACAATATTTCAAAGGTAAAGAAGAAAAGTTTACTTCGGGACCTGCCTCGCTAATAATAAACATAATATTGCCATAATTCACAATCAATGTCCTAATAGAAATAATTTATAACAACTATGTTTTTAACCTTTCTTACTAGGATCATGTAACTTAAAGGCGACAAAAACGTTGCTGCCAAGCATTAAATTCAAATATTTGTGCTCTGATATGTTCATTCCCAAAGAATCTCTTTGGTGAAGTCTTGTAAATAAACAATATGCGTATGGTTGGAAAACCAAGCTTCCCGCTGCTCTAACTACGTCTGATTGTATTAAAACTTTTTCAGTGCTTTTCAGCTGCATTTGCATTTTAAAATTAGGTGTAGGATTTGAAATGCATCTGTCCTCTGTTCTTAAACATTGTGTCATGAACACGAAGTACATCCCACTGTCATCAATGTGGAGTCCGTTGTTATCCACACGCATTTCTGTATGTTCACCAACAAGATCGCTGATGAAACTTAAATTGTAAGTGGGATTTGGGCATGGTTGTTGTCTTCCGACTGAAACAAAAATAAGAAATCTTTAATAATTTGTGATATAACCAGTGAAACATACAGTATTCAAATTTTTTGTAAAGTTATGTTTGAAAAGAGTTCGAAGTAATGAATGAATTGTGTAAAGATTTCCTACATTGATTTGAACTGTATAAATTCAGCAGTGAAATAATAATGTAAATATTAAAACTGAACTTTCAAATGTAATATCCTACTATTTTCGACTTAATCTCGATCTTTGTGTGTCTTTAGTCGTTTGAGATAGGTTAGTTAACAGTACAATATTCCAGTTGCAGTTATAATTTGATTTATAATAAACCAAATTATACATCGACGGATTTGGCTTAAGGAATGCACGCACCATGCAAGTTTTGGATAAAAATCGACATGGATAACTGAAATACCTGATAATTTTGTTCAAAACCCTTGTATCAAATATTGAAATTTGTAATTCTATATTTACATGGAATACAATTTAAGTTAAAAACTTATAATCATGAAAGAAATTGTATACTTTTTAATGATTCCGTAGTTTTGAATATATGTGATGAGATAATTCCACGTGTGCTCGTTTCAATTTGAAAATTAAGTGTTATGAAGCTATCAAGTAACAAACTTTAGATGTAGACAAGATATAGCCTGACTAATGTCAGTATTTATATTCTTGAATGTTATCTTACATACTTGTCTTTAAGGCTTCAAACTTTTTGCATAAATTATTTAATAGAAAATTGCGAATAAAATATGAAAAGATATTTTGATACAGGATGCCATACAAAAACATTTATGTGGGTGAATATGTTTTTATGAAAATGGCACAATTTTGATTTTGCTAAGCACTATGTTTACAATTTTTACCTATGTAATTTCGACTTCTAAAAGTAAATGAGAAAGTCTCAAAGAGGGCTATATTGGCAGATTTACAGTTTTACATTAAATGCAATTAATGAATTAAGGTCTTTTGCAAATATGCAATTCAAAAATATGAAAACTCATATCTGTTAGAATTAACGTCTGATTTAAACCATCTGAAGGATGCAATATCATGAATAAATAAAATTCGTATTCTACTTCTTGGAGCCAAAAATAGTAGCTTAATCACACATTCCCCTTTTGATATAAAGCTTTCAATTGAAATAAGATGATTTTGAACAGATTGAAGAGTTTTACTTTTTCTTCACTTGCAGGATACTGAAATAACTATTAGCATACCTTAAAATTAAGAACAGCGCTCGTATCATTTAAAGCTTTGAAAAAATTTAACAAAGATAATGATCATAAGATGTGTCATCAAAACCAAATTTCTTTAAGACGCAAATATGGCACCGAGATTGAAGCACAGACAAAACCACTGATGATGTTCCTCACTTCCGACATTGACATTAACGGTGAGACTACAAATGTACTCTTCATATTAAAAATTTGCAGGTTGAAAAGAAATAATGTAAAACCTAAATTTTGTCACTTTGGACAGAATACAGTTTGCACAATGTTTACCGTCGGTATATGTAGCATACAAACGTAATGGTAGTTAAAAAATGTTGGATGTTTATCTTTACCAATTTGTTACCAGTTCACAAATACATACGTGCACAATATAATTATATGGCATCCATTTGTAAAGTTTGTCCCGACCGTGCGAGACCCTCATGGGTAGTCAAGGTCGTTAAACATCCCCTTGTAGTAGTAGTAAAGTTTGGAAAGTTTCTCCAGCTCAAAAATTCCTCAAGCAGGTTGTGCGGTTTAACGATTGAAATGACCCTATATATCATTTACGAAACCGATCACGCATTGGTTGACCGATATGATATGCATGTGTCTCAACTCACAATAGACGTATTTTTGCGGTCTTATATCTTATGAAACCAAAAAATGTTGTCGGAACTGAAAATTATCGATTGTGTCTTTTTCCTTATCGTGACGTTTTTGCTGGGTTTTTCCAATGCACTTTCTGAATGCATATGAGAAGACAGACCCTTATCTTGTGGAAGCATCCGGTCTCGTTCAGTTTGAAGTTTCATGCGATTCTCATGGCTTCTCTCTTGTTTATTCTAAATAAATGTACTAGTTTTGAACATCGATAAATCGCTATTGATTTTTTGTATAGTGCACTGGAAATTTTTCCGCTTTTATGATGTAAATGTGTGTCAATATTCAAGTATCATTTTAAAAACCGTTAACAGACATAAACATTATAAAACCCAATATAGTACTTTTTAACTGGTCTTCTTAATTTTGGTGATTGTTCCGTAAATCCGTCTGTATATTCAGTGCAGAGTTGTAAAATGAAACAGTTACAGATTGCATAGGAAAAAAGACAGTCAAGATACTAAGCTGTCATTAAAAAATAAGAAGTCAAATAAAATCAGACAACATCAGGGTCAAAACGAAAAAAAAACTATGAAAAGAAAAAACAGGTTCACAAAACACTACACAGAAAACTAAAGATTTAACAAACAAACCCCACCATAAAACTGGGGTTGAACTCAGGTCCTCCGGGAGTGTTAGTAGTTTCTGCTATACTAATGGCATCCGTCGTGTTATTCATTACAAGTGAAGTTACTGTTTATGACGTCCTTAATATGGATGTTGGATGTGAATTGATTGATGTTTTAGTCTAAGTTACTGGATTTATTTTTTAGTTGTTATCGGCTTTGAACTAGTTTTCAATAACTGCGATTACCCTTAGATCTGTTCTTTGTTTATTTTGTGTTTTGTTAAGTTATTTTTGTGCTTTGTATCGATCTGATGAGTGTAGCACTTATCAACTGATTTTTATAGTTGTTATTATGTTGTGCTGTTACACCACTGTCTCAGGTTAATGGGAGGGTTGGGCGCCTGCAAACATGTTTAAACATATTCTGTATGTGCCTATCCTACGTCAGGAGCCAGTAATTTAGTGGTTGTCGTTTGTATATCATATTTATTTCTCGTTTATTGTATTGTACTTATATCAGGCCGTTAGTTTTCTCTTTTGAATTGTTTTACATTTGTCATTTCGGTGGTTTTTATAGCTTACTATGCGGTATAGGTTTTGCTGAAAAGCCGTACGGTGACCTAAAGTTGTCATTTGGTCTCTGGTGGAGAGTTATTTCATTGGCAATTATACCGTTGACATAAGTTTGGAATTAATTTTGGCCCTTAAAATATGAAAGTTTAATTTCTTTGTCGAAATGTCACCACCCCTCAGTTATTATTTGAGCTGTTCATTTGTATATCGATAATTTTGAGTACTCGGATATTACATGTGAGTTTGTTAAATATTTTTCTGAATTTTGACCTGATAATGTCTATTGGACTTTCTTGAAAATGATGGTTATGTCAACTGTTCTTGCATTGAGTTCATATTCAAAGTATAAACTGTTCTTCTCTTGAACTCCTCTTTATCCACGCTGTTTATTTTCTATTTAGAAATTGGTTTATCTATACATAACATCATACATATTTATTATTAGGTTAAATCCTAACTATCCTACTGCCTGTTGTTACTTTTATTTTGGCATTGCACAAGTCATGTCTTCTTTGACTGTCCATGGCGTTAAAACACTAAATCCCTGCCTGGGATGTGTTTTAATTGATTTTAGTCTTTGATGCATGATTTTTTATTGTTAATTGTTTTTGGCTTTAAACTAGCTTTCAGTAACTGCGAGTACTCTCAAATCGTTCTTTCGTGTTAATTTGACCTGTTGACACAATTTGTAATGCATTTCTGTTGTTCAATGTTTACTTATTTTGTGTTATATCTCGTCTTACTATTTTTAATATGTACCACCTTTGATAAGTATTTAGTATGACGTAAAAATTTCACTTCTGTACTCTTACTATGAATAACAAATTTATTTTGTAAAAAATGTTTCTGTACTCAACAAAATTATTATATTTAAATTTACCTGTGTACGTTACTTTATTTAACGCCATTTTGTCCTAGGTTGAATTTGTCTTTTTGACATTGAAACATCTTTTTTTATTTATATTGTGTCATAGATCAAACTTATTCGTTCAGTGTATATTTACTTGTTTTTGTGTATTGTCTTTTTGATCGAATTAAGCCATTTCAATTGATATGCTATTGTGTGTCTTTTTATGTTGTAATGTTATACCACTGTTTCAGGTTAAGGTGAAGGTTGGCGCCTGTTAAACGTTTAAACCCGCTGCATTTTTATGCACCTGTCCTAAGTCAGGAGCCTGTTGTTCAGTGGTTGTCGTTTGTTTGTGTGGTTCATAAGTGTTTCTCGTTTCTCATTTTTATATAGATTAGGCCGTTGGTTTTCCTGTTTGAATTGTTTTACACTAGACTTTTTGGGGCCCTTTATAGCTTGCTGTTCGGTGTGAGCCAAGGCTCCGTGTTGAAGGACGTACTTTGACCTATAATTGTTTACTTTTTACACATTGTGACTTGGATGGATAGTTGTCTCATTGGCACTCATACCACATCTTGTTATTTATATTTAGTATAAATTTTTCGTGCATTGAAATAACATTAAGTATAAACTGTTCGTGCATTGAACTCATATTTAGTGAAAATTCTTTTTGTATTAAACTCATATTAAGTATATAAACTGTTCTTACATTGAACTCATATTCGTACAAACTGTTCTTGTATTGAACTCATATTCGTACAAACTGTTCTTGTATTGAATTCATATTTTGTATACATTGTCTTCCACTGAACTCATATTAAGTACATAAGCTGTTCTTCCATTGATATTTAGTATAAACTGTTTGTGTATTGAACTCATATTTAGAAAATAACTGTTTTTGCATTGAACTCATATTAAGTTTAAATGATAATCGTATGAAGAGGAGTTAATGATCATGTTTGAGTTTCTTTTCTTCTTGCTGATAAATTTGACCTTATTACTGCCACTGAACATAAATTTCGTCATAAATGTTTGTTTCGTTTTTAGTGATATTATTGGGTAAATTCACCATGGAAATCGTGGTCTAATACATATGTTTTATTGGTGCTATGTAAACAAAACTCACCTAACACTACTAATAACGTTTTAATACGTAAATTCATCAGGAATTTAATAAAATAAAAGAAACATAAACATAAACATAAAAAGGATTTAAGACATAAACAACACTGAATTCAACAACATCTAACCTACCATCTTTAATTTTTGGTGTGTTCCAATGCGAGATTCCTATGTAGAAATAAGTTATGATTAATTTAATAATTAAAAAAAAGAGGATTAACTAGAATTCAATATTTTTAAATTTAATTCTATGTTAAAACATTAACCTTAATATCAAATAAAATACAATTACTCCAATTAGATATATTAACATATCAAGTAAGGATACTGTAATTCTGTAGTTGTAGTTTGTTGCTGTCTGTCATATTTCATTTATTATGTTGTTCGAATTGTTTTACATTTTGTCACATCGGGGACTTTTATTCCTGACTATACCCTATTGGTTTTATCATTGTTGGAGGTCGTACGGTGACCTACATGTGCTTGCATCCACGTCTTTTGTACACTGGTGCATTGTTGTTTCATTAGTAACCATAGCACACCTCTTTTTTTATATAAATATTTATAATGTTTTGGTCAGCTTTTATAGCTGACTGTGCGGTATGGGCTTTGTTCATTGTTGAAAGCCGTACGGTGACCTATAGTTGTTAATTTCTGTGTCATTTGGTCTCTTGTGGAGAGTTGTCTCATTGGCAATCATACCACATCTTCTTTTTTTATATTGCCTACTGGGCCATGTCTAAGCAACATCTTCGTATTCGTTTTATTGATGGACGACAACTTGGAGTAATTGTTAATTATCATCAAAACGTGTAATGACCCTGAACCAAAATTACATCAGTGACGTTAACAGTCAAAAATTCAAACCGTGTCATGCAAAATAAAACTTTATTTGGTGTCCATTAATCTTTTACCGGGAAAGTATTCTCAATGAAGAACTTTAATTTTAAAAGTGTGTAACAACATTTAAAAGGTCCCTTATTTGCTGCGTTTGATGCATATTTCTGGCTTTATCTTTTGTAAAAAAAAGCAAATAGTATAATGTTAAGAAATCCAAAGATTAAAAGATTTATAACAAAAAGGGTATACAAAATATAGCCACATTAAATTTCAACTGTACCTGTTGAAGTTGTAAGGTTGAATAAATACAAATTGTTCAGATGAAACATTGGATTATGATGGTCGTATTTAATTGAAACAACTTATAAAAATTAAAACAGGAAAGTCGATTTTAAAAATTAATTTACAAATGAAATTAAACGTTTAGGTACCTTGTTATAATAAGAAATATCAGCAATATTTCGCCTCCTTATGTAGCTAAAAAGTACAATTGTGTACGCCCTTTCTTTTGATATTTTAAATCACTTAATTCTGGAATAGCTTTATTATAAAGTGATCATTTTATTAGGTATATTTCATTCGTATAAACGTTTAATATAGGTTAACCTGATTTCGATTTCCTACTGATTGGCCTCGGTGTAAAACTCTCAATCACACACATATTGGCCTTCCGAACCGCACGAAGATCACTTCAATTTGTTTATGGTTAAGGTGTAATACCACCATTGATTTTCCCCTATTAGTCTTTGTTAAATTTGCACTTTTCAAAAAATTGTGCAGAATTTATCTTTGTTTCAAATAAAGAAATACTTGGCATGAGTAAAGTTTGATCCTGTCCAGTACTATAGAAAAAATTTCACATAACATTTCATTGCATATAAGAAAATAACCATCACTGGAAGTTAACCAATCAAATTTTCCCCCTTTTTTAACCTGTATACAAGCTTTAGTAACCATGTAACCTCAAGTTTCCAAAATATTCTATAGAAACCCCAAATAAAAAAATAATGGTGCTTTGAAATACCCAAGATATATGTTTATGACCCAGAAATGTTTTACTGCAATGAAATGTAGGATCAATTACCTACAACTGTCAAATTCAAGGGAATATTTTTTTTCGACCTATTTTCGTATGCAACCGGATGTGACGTACTATGATTTGGTGGTATTACACCTTAACATCAAGTAGTAAACATTTCATGAATATTCAAGACGATTACAAATGAATTCAATTCAATTCAATTCAATTCAACTCAATTCAATTCAATTCAATTCAATTCAATTCAATTCAATTCAAACTGTATATATAGATTAAAGTTGTTTCAATGTCCCCTTACCGCGGGACTTGTATATGTATTTGTACACCTCACACAGCGAAATTGACTTCCCTTTTAGCATCTTTATACTAGCCTACAGAAGTAAATCTGATACTGGAATGAAAAAAAAAAATCCTTTTCCAATATTAAGATCAACGAAATTCTGTAATTCCCAATTCTGTTTGACCTTTCTACCCTATTGCTCTTTAGTTATCCGGAAGAAAAAGCAATCGAATTCCTGTCGGATTGGGCTATTTTGGGTACAAAGATTAGTCTTTTGCTATTATGGTAGAAATTTTTACTTTGTCATATAATTCCCTCTTATATTTTAATCATAATATAAAACATATAGGAATACAAAATTATTTAATGTATCAATGCTCTCCAGCTCTTGCAAGACAACATTAATTGATTGAATCAGCTTATAAAAATTACCATTAGATTCAAGTTTTAAATCCAGTATAACCTAGATTTGTACATTTTTTATAGGCCACGTAATTATTTTGTTGTTGAAGCCAGCATTGCTCGTATTTACGACCTAAGGCATACTTATTACTTTTAATAATTCTGCATCAATACAAAAATCAATATGGTTAAGAGTTCAACCGTATTGATTTTTCCAAGCTATCACACATTAACTTGAACATCCTTTGAAACTTAACAGGAAATGTACGATTGTCCAAAGCTTATCTAACAGAACAGAGGTATAGAATTTGAATCAGTAATTGAAATCCATGCCCTCACTTCAATGTATTATTTGGTCAGATGAAGATTTATATAATTACTGTTCCATTTAAAACGATCTTTTTCGCACAAAGAAGTATTGGAATTGTTTTACAATTGTATGCGTGTGTCATTTCCAGTTTAAAGTATGATGTTTTAGATTCAAGAAAACTTCAGTCTGATTTAGTTTCAATGACAAAATAATTAGAAATTCTCAAGTAAATAGGTTATTTTCTAAGAAGGAAGAGTAAATCGATCTAACAGATAAATGTACAGACTGCTTGCTATATTTACAACTCTTGAATGGTGAACTTCCCAAGAAAAGGTGTATTAAGAAATTTTACACCATTAGATTATGTATAAAAAAATTATTGGTGTGCACATAATTATATTGTAAATGGGTAGTTTGAGTTTATGACAACTGGTATAATGCTATATCAGCTAAAGTGAAATACATTTACATACATTTTTGCTACCCCTTTTTTGCAGATTTTGGTTTTTAAATTAAGTTGAAGATATAGTAATAAAATAAACAAGTTGAACGGTTTCGCATCAATTTGGCTGCTAGTTGATGTAAAACGTTTTGAACTAAAGTAGTGTGGTCTCTGAAAAGATATATAAATTGAATTGATGCGGAATAAACAAAAAAAAATATCCCTTTCAGCAGTTATACAGAAAGATTCAAGAACCGTTAATGTTTACATATAGTAGAATTAAGATCCCTTCAAAAATATGATTCCAAATGCACATGATATGGAACATATGTTACGTTTTCCTTTATTCTGCACGAAAGTCGTAATTAATGTGACTATTATGTTTAACCTACCGGGTTGAGGGACTTGAACTGCATGCAGGTACGTTAAAGCAGCATGTCTATATAATGGGTCTCTGTTATCTCCACCCTCGAGATACTGGGACCTCAGGAAAACCTGTAATGTAAATGAGAGATAAGTATTGTTAATATAATTATAATGCCTCGTTAGACAAATACTTTAAGGAAGTTTGTGTAGCGTTATGGTTGATGTCTCGATAGCTTTAGTTCACATTCTTCAGTTCGAATCCAAATTAGAGAAATATATAAATTTCTAAGGACAAAATACGTTATAACCTTATAAGGTTGAATATAAATTATAATACAAAAAACGAAAAAAAAAAAGAGAAAGCATCTGCTACCTAATTAGTTGCGCGCAAATCGTTTTCGACATACTCCTTCATACTATGAAGAAAAATATCCGGCATGTAAACCTTCACATTCATGAATGTGTTCGATGATATATGATTTTAAAGTGTTTACAGTTGATTTAAAACAAGGACAGAGTATTCTTGATTGATTTGTTTTATTGTATTAACGACATAAAAGGAAAACTTTACATGAAACTAATTTGTGTCAACATTTTCCCTTTTCCTATATGGGACATGCAAGATAAAGGAAAATAACAAAGTATTGCTTTACACAATGTAATTATTAAAATAAAAGGTTCAGTAAAAAACCCGCAGAGACTATAGAGCGTTTAAAAAGTGTCACCACTTTACTCCTTTTTTGGTTTCCATTTAACCAGTGATTTTCATAATGTCATTTATCAATTTATCAAAGTCAATACTTGTGTTACATCATTGTGATTAGAATAACAGCAAGTTACCTGCATATTCCTCCATAACAACCATTTAACAAACATTTAAACCGCAATGCAGGAAAGATGTATTATTTAAACTTCTTCATCAGTAATGGCAATGTAAACAGAAAAACATTGTGAAGTGATTAATACCGTGTTTTCATGTGTCGTCCCAATGGAAAAAATACATATATATTATGCATTTTTGTGGTAATGGTTACAATATCAATTCCCAGAATAATCAGTGTTGACAGAATGGCAAGGTCAAATACGACATTTATGTTTCATTTTAATTGTGCTGCATCATAGATCTGATCGAATCACGAATGGGCCATAACACCATCAATAAATTGCAATTACTATATAACAATAACAAATGTAAATGCATATGTACTTAAAATAGCTGATCATAGCTAGTATGCATGTTATTGAAAAAAACAGATACAAATAAAACAGCAAAAAAAAACTGATATAAAAACTTATAAACAGTAGGGGAAAAAAGCAAATTAGATGACTCATTCCTCGTGATTAGAAAATCCAATTTTGGTGATTTTCTTAGTTAGCTGCAATTTTGTGTTTTTATCAAAGACTATTACCGTTAGTTTTATTCATGTATATGCATTAATGCAAAATGGCCCAAGACAAAGGATCGTATTTTGGAACATGAATATGCATTAACGGGAAAGCGTACAATTTCATTTGCACTTTGATCTTTTGTTGCCTAAATATAAAGATTGACAATAAAAGAATGAATCAAAACAATAAAAGAAAAACAACATACTGTGTCATGATGTTTAATGCAAGAATGATAGTCTTCCCAGTATACTCTCTTGTCAAACGCGGAAACAGTTCAAGAGTTACCAAGGAGGCAATCGACGAAATACAAACAACATCATGGTCAAAAACACTACATAGCAACCAAAAATTGACACTTCACACAATTTTTGCACTACACAATTTTTATCGAAAACCATCTTTGGTGAAAGTCTCGTTGCATATAAAAAGAAAACTGAATGTCTTTAAATCAAGACAATCCAATGTTTACCGGTATAAATTGGAACGCAAAGAACTCTCATACTACAGAACAATTGCCACCACCATAAAAAGACAGCAATATGTGATTAATCGTGAAATACCATAATTAAATATTTCGGTAAGTTCAAATATACATGAAACTCATTTGTATCCAGATATGTTCCTCTCTGTTTTATAGAATAGATACTTTTTGAAGCTGACGTGAAGTTCTGTATGCTACACCTTCCGAGATATATAGTGCTGTTCTCTATCAAGAAAAACGGTTTCAGTAAAAAATAAATCTTACAATTCCAAATATTTGAGATGATTTATATTTGGGCATTGGATATACATTTGCTGAATATGCCTGTACTAAGTCCAGAATATGACAGTTGTTTTCTATTCGTTCCGTTGGTTGATATAGGTTTACGTTTGATTTTGTCAGGTTTTATAGACTCCTCCCCCTTTTTTGAATTTTCCTTGGAGTTGGTGTTTTTGTTAATACTTTTTTGTAGTATTATTAGAAGTACATTCCTTTGAGCCCTTGTAATGGTTGTCCTTTATGCAACGCATAACCCGCAGAACAGAAGTTTCCGTTGCGTTGTTCTCATTTGACATGCCTGAATAGATACTAGTATAAGAAGATGTGGTATGAGTGCCAATGAGACAACTCTCCATCCAAGTCAAAATTTATAAAAGTAAACCGTTATAGGTCACAGTACGGTCTTTAACACGGAGCCTTGGCTCACACCGAACAGATGCATGATTTTAAAATTTACTAAAAAAATTTCACTATCTTCGTATCACAAAATAGCGATATGTGCATTAAAGTTTATTGCCCTTATCGTATTTGAAAATAATTACAAATTATCACATAATAAGTTGTTTTTCTTAAATTTTGCTGTGTAACCAATGAAGACAACACCGGTTCAATCTGAACCAATTTGAAAGTTTGCAAAAATAAAACAAGGATGGTTATAAAAAGCGATGGTTGTCAGATGTAACTCACGGTTTTGATAGGTCGGTTCGCATAATTCATCTACAAACACTGATATGTAACGATATTCGCCGTCTTCTATGGGGACATTGTGATACCTTCGTGGTTTTCAATAACATTTTTATATGTTACTCTAAGTATGGACTCATCTGAAGACTTGTCCTTGACTCTAATAGGTTAAAATCACAGTCACAGTAAGTTCGTTCATTTTGAGTTTCAAGCCTTATTAACATATAACGTATCGTATTATAACCAATATCATTTCCATATAAAGTATGTAGTTCACATGTTCAACATGTTTTGATAAGTCTTAAGAATTTATAGAGGATAAAGACTTGATGAACACCATTAGCGAATACGATATTTTACATGAATACATTGAACATAAAGAATGAGTAGGAGGCAGGACAGTTTTTTTCTTCTGTCGATTCATTCGTATATTGATCTAATTAGAAATCCAGCACGATATAACTTAAGACTGAGGTAAAATTACAAAAACAGAATAAATCAGGCCGTTGGTTTTCTCTTTAAACATTTTTCCCCCCTCATATTTTATCATATCGGTGCCTTTTACATTTTACTTAAGTGTACGGATTTTGCTCATGGGAGAAATCCGTAAAGTACCTATAGTCGATTACATTCTCGTCCTTTAGTCTCATTGGCAATCATACCACATCTCCTTTTTTATATTCATATCCTACTAAATCTTTCTGTTTGGTTAATAGATCTTTAAATATACTTATTGATAAAAGTTTACTGTTGTTGTTCAAGCATTGTTTTTATTCAATTTACCTTAAGTGTTTCTTTTATTTTTCTGTATTGAAAGTTTATAGCGTAAAGTTTTTTTTTGGAAATGAGCTGCATTGTTTAAGATTAATATGCTGTTGTAAATCTATATTTGTAATTGTTCGAAAAACAGCCTACAGCCGCCAATTTCATATTGATTTAATAAAAGCAGGTAAAGTACTTTTAGGTTGCTTTCAGTAACTTCAAGATTTCTCATTGAGTATTATCTATAATTGTTTTACTTGTGCATTTGTTGTCCAATATATACTGAGTAGAGTGTCATTTCTAAACTGACTTCTATCAAATGTTCTTAAATGTCTCTTTTGCTAGTACGCTGACCTAGATTGAAAGGGGAGGATCGAAATCTCAAAAACTAGTTTAACCCCGCCATATTCCTATTCAAGAGCCTCATCAATGGTTGTGAGTCGACTGTTGTGTTACGTCATATTTCATTTTATTCAGAGAATTTGGTATTGTTGGTGGATCTTTAAAACGATTTAGGTCTTGACATATTGTCTAGATACCCGTCTATTGTTGAAGGTTATATGCTGTCCTCTATACATTGTTTGGTTATATGTGTACTTTTGGTTGCTGTCTCTTGGGCGTATATCCCACGCCTCCCTGTTTAATCTATTAACTCCCCTCTTTTAAGACTCACACCAATTCAGTGCTAGACATATCGTATACACATTTGTCTATTATTAAGGCCATATGTTGTACTCTAGATGTCTTGATTGTTTTCATTGAACTGCTGTTTCAGTGACATAACCAACATCTCCTTTTATTCATAAAACAGTAAGAAGTGACTATGAGTGTGATTGTCACAATGAAATAAGACAACATAAGATTGAGAGACGTTCCTACAATATTAAAGTAAGAGCTAACAATGCATATAGCACAGAAGACTAATATGAAGGTTTTTCAAAAGAAAACTAAAACATATATTCTGTAGATATGTTATATTTTCGCATTCTTACGCTGTTCAACATTAAATGACAGAGTAAAATGGGTTGACATGGTGGTTTAATTAGTCTTTCAATATATATCGTTTTAAAGTAGATGATTGAAAATTCGACTGATTGCTGGACTTGGAAATATAGCAATATACTGAATTAGTATGTGAAGTAAAGTGAAAAAGGCTTTCCTGGCTAAGAAGGTAGCAAGGTCATCGTTATGTTTTTAAAGAAAAACTAATAACCAGACATGAATTTTAATAAAAACTAGGAGCAACATTTAAGAACAAAATAATGGAAGTTGTATACAAAGTCAACGCAGTCAATTCAGTACAGTTAACAATTTTCATTAAAAAAACGTAAAATACTTATCTCCGGTTGTGCACAATGCTTCGTTTATATGGAATATCATTCATCAACTGCATGAACACAAGAAACCAAAAGTTTTGAAAGTCCCCTCCCCCCCAAAAAAAACAAAACACAAAACAAAACAAAACAGAACAATGGAGTAACCTAAAATATGTGAGAGCATAAGGAATTAAGAATAAAACTAGTTTAAAAATAGC